GTCGACGTATCCGATGAGTTTGACTCCTGGCACTGGTGGCTTGTTGTTGAACTCTTTCATGTGTGTGTGTGTGCGTGTTTTTTTCCTGTGTTTTGACGGATCATGCAGGACTACCTTTCACGTGGAGTACTGCAATGTCCGCTGTGATTTCATTTGGAGCGCACATATCGGAGTCTTCGCACAGGGTGTGCGTTCAAAGCACCCCACCTTACCCCCTTTCAATTTTATTCAATACCGCACATATCGGCGTCATCGCTCGGGGTGTGCGATAATACTGTACAACCAAATCATTTAATTCGATTTCCGCACATGTATCGGGGTCTCCGCACATATCGGCGTCTCCGCAGCCCTGTGCGAAGAACGACGACATTTAAAAGGGCGACCGCAAAGTGTGCGAAGACCCCGATTCTTACGGTAGTCTCTGACGTCCCTCTTCGACGACGAGTTCAAAACCAATACCCTAGACAAACACGAGTTGGAGTTGGAGAAGAGGAGGGAAGTCGGTGTACTTCCCCCGATGCGGGAACCTGTGCGTCCAAAACGGTTTCCTCTCACACACCGAATATGCCTATGCCGCAATTGCTCCTGGCAACGCGAAAGCGCCCAGCACCCCCGTTGACATCAACGATTTCCACTGCGCGCACGGCCACTCCCACGAGGTTCTGCTGAGGACCACGGTGAAGCAGCAGGGGACGATGCTGGTGGGCGAGCTCTGGGAGTGCCTGGGGTGCTCGACGGCGAAGGGGCTTTCCAAGCCCATCCCCAACAAAACGTCGACCCGAGCAGTTAAGAAACTGCAGCGAGTTTTCGTGGATTTGAGTGGAAAAGCTAGGGTGCAGAGCTTGGGGGGAAAGTGGTACACTCTCATTGTCAAGGATGATTACACAAGGTGGAACCGTGTTTGTTTCCTGAAGCACAAATCAGACGCAGCTGAGGCATTCGAGAGGTACCTTGCCGAAAACCGGGCAAACGGTGCCCCGTCNTGGAAAAGCTAGGGTGCAGAGCTTGGGGGGAAAGTGGTACACTCTCATTGTCAAGGATGATTACACAAGGTGGAACCGTGTCTATTTCCTGAAGCACAAATCAGACGCAGCTGAGGCATTCGAGAGATACCTTGCCGAAAACCGGGCAAACGGTGCCCCGTCCGATGTCATGGTCGTGAGATCTGACAACGGAGGAGAGTTCTTTGAGGGAGAGTTCGGCAGGGTGTGCCGGAAGTACTGCATCAAACAGGAGTTCACCCCCGCACACAGCCCAGAATACGATGGAGTAGCTGAGAGAGCATTGGGTCTGATCGAGGATGCAGCACTAGCCGCCCGTATCCAAGCGCCAACTCTTTACCCCGGAGCACCGAACTACCCATCCCTTTGGGCCGAGGCCATAGCTTGGTCATGCAACGCCCTGAACTGCACCTCCACCACATCCAACCCAGAGAAGAAGTCGCCGTACGAGATGTGGCACGGGCACCCTCCCCCGCCGGGGGCGACGTACCCGTTCCTCATACCTGCCGTATACAAGGTCAAGCGCACGCACAAGTCCGAGCCGAAAGAATAAAAGTGTTTTAACCTCGGCCCGGTAATCAACACCAACCGTGAACGAAATATGCCATGTGATCACAACTCGCAACTTCACCTGGCAATCCGTACCCGCTTCCCCCACCGCCCTGCTCCAGTCGCTGCCTCCCATCGCAGAGGAGGAAGAGGAATTCGCGACTGAGGAGGACGAGGTTGGGATGGGCGCGTCGAGCCAAGGTGGAGGGAGGGCGGATGGAGAACCTGTGGATGGAGGACCAGGTTTCAACCTTGGCACGATGGCAGTCCCGGGGCCCGCGGGCCCGCCCGCGCGCGTATCGCCGGCGGCGGCGCCGGCCGCGCCCCAGGAGTCGGGCGCGGGCGACGCTGGCGATGGCGCCCCCTCGAGCAGGGAGAGCGCGAGCGTCGCCCCATCTACCACGTCGACCGGCACGGCCGATGTGGGCGGCGGCGAGGACGACCG